GCTCAACCCAGATGGCTTCAAATTTATAACTTCTTCTTCGATGTTGTCCTAGTTGGGTTGATTCTGCTATCGGGTATAACTGGCAATATCCTGAGTTGTTTTGTTCTTATCCGAGATCGATCTCACGGGACCACCAGTCTTATCCTAACATGCTTAGCGGTCTCGGATACATTATTTCTAATTGGATGTATGTTCTTCCAGTTTCTACGAACATTTTCTGTATTCATACTTTGGATTAACTACATGAACTTCTATGCCCATGTGAGCAAATTTCTCTACGGTGCTGGAATGACGGTTCGCATGGTACGCAACTGGATGGTTGTGCTTGTAACAACGGAACGCTGGGTGGCAGTTTGCAAGCCGCTTCACGCCCCAACAATCTGTACCAGAGGAAAGGCTAGAATTGCCATCATTTGCCTGTGTATATTGTGCGCGCTATACAACATTCCACATTTTCTATTGGTAGAGGCAGTTCCTTTATTTTGTTACGGATCCAAATCAACTGAACACGTGCATCAGAAGAGGCTCTTTCTGATCTACCACAGTTTGCTGAGAAGATGGGTGAGAGAAAATTATCCATTTAGGCTTTTCTATCGACTCATTGGTTATACCGTGCTGATAGTGGCTCTTCCTACCGTCATCATCGGCATACTAAACATACTGCTGATTCGTGGTATAAAGTATGCGAATGCGCGACGAGCGCAAATTGTGGCTCGAATCGACTGTGCTAATCGACAATTGGATCAGTGTTCTCGAACATGCACGCAGACGGATGACAGGCCAAATATATCTCGGTTAACCCCCGAGAACTTTGAAAATCACACATATTTTGTAAGAGTAGAGAAGTCCACCCGATCTCGTAGTGGAGAAGTGAATCGTCTCTGTGTTGGCGTTATAGTCATCTACCTGATTTGTGAGCTTCCTGCTGTTGGCTATCAAGTCATTCATCTTTTGCAACACAGAGGTGCAATTGACATTACCAAACCAGTGACGAATGCCCTCGTGTGTTTAAACAGTGGAGTCAATTTCTTCATTTATGTGTTTCTGGGTAGACGATTTCGGTCTCAACTGAAGGATATGCTGCAGCGTTTATGCTGCCGCTGGACCCGAACACATGGTGCGGAACACGGAAGGATAGTACACTCAAATGCCTACCATTCTTCTTTGGGTGTTTTCGGTGGGGTACCTAGTAAAAAAAGCGGCGATCAACTTGGGCTCGTGGAGCGGCCTATGTGCAAACATTTGACGCCTGTGGCGGGACAAAATTGTGAAGGTTGCTCGAATAAAGGTAAACCAATCAGAAGTAACATTTTGTCTACGGATTATACCACTCGAACATCGTACACAGAGATTTAGAGAAACCACGTGTTTGCGGTGAGTGGTATTCGTCAGTTGGCATGTGCGCTAGATTGAGTGAACTTTTAGAATTCTCCACTATGCACCTGCGGTTTTCATTATAAGCACCCGGCGCTACTCTCGACGGTAGTGCCAAGTAAGCAAGTTTAGGCTGACCCATTGGCGGCGTATTCAAACTTCAGTGGCTTTTGCCGATTGGATCGTTATGTACCTTCTCACTGAATAACCTGAAATACTAGCTCATATGTTTGTCGGATCTTGCGAATAATTAGACTACACTAACTAATTGTTGTTTCAAAAAAGTCTTGGACAGCCAAGGTTTCTGCCAAACAAAATAATCGAAAGGAATGCCATATTTGTCTTGTAACAAGTTAATAAACCGCTCATGCAATTCCTCTGTTTTTAAAAATCCCTCCGTTGACAGTAAATGCAAATTCTGAGACCTACGCAACGTAAAACCAGGTTTATTTGTAACTGTTGACCTAGTGAAATGAGCCAGTGGGACGGGATGCACACAATGACCTGATGGAGCCGCTCATGTCAAGCTAATTTAACGATCCTTAAATATGACTGGCCAATTATTTTGGTTGTGTAGGCAGAACACTTAGAAGTTTAATTTTTTTATTTTCGGGAAATCCTCAACAGAGCTTATAAAGGCCATTTCGTAAGTTATGCAGATAGCCGAACAGCAGTGTCTTTCAGCGTTTTGTTCATCTGCCGTTTGCTTGAATAATTGGCCAGTTTGCTATGTCTGTTATATCGAATTCTAGATGGACTCTCATGCTCTTTCTCGCCGCTAGAATGATCTGTTATCTAAATACATTCATAAATATTTCAGAACGCTATAATTTACTTATTGCCACCATGCATGCATACAAAGCTTTTTGAATTTCTTGAGTTTACCGCTGAAACATATAGAACCCTTTGAGATTTCCTCAGGATATGAGGCTTTTTTGGTGTTACGCGCTACTCATATGGGTGCTAGATACTCTCCAAAAATTCACCGCTCAACCTCTTGGTAAGGCATGATTTCCAGTAAATACTAGTGATTGCGTGATCAGTATCTTCATTTGGAAGTAGCAACACAAGTACCGAGGAGAAGATGGGGTTTAGCCATTAGGAACTCATAAATTGTTGCTGAAGTAAATTGTATGATCGGTACGTTACCCATGCTATCATGAATGCAGTTGGGCTACGGAAAACGTTCACGTATATGATTGTTATGCCCATAAATGCTGTCGATACGCCATTTGTATGGATACTGTTCGTGAGACTATTAGATATTGTAATTTCACCGCCTTTGAGCTACACGCAAAATTGCTAAGCCAAAGTAGACGACAGCGTACCACAAACAGTACTGCGGTTGCCACACCCGCAGTCTTGCTTTCACGAGACTATGTGCACAGCCCCAAAGAGTGTGTGAAAGTGATAATCATAAACGACAGAGGGTTATTTACTTTGTTGTTTGTACCGTTGATTCTGATCAAGAAAATGCAGGCAAGCCTTGAATGTGCGCGAGGTGTGAGTTGATAAGCGTCCCACATTACGTTCACAACAAAGGAAGTGTGAGGCAAGTTCACACCACTTCAGTTAGGAGTTCCAGAAATATTTTCTACTTTGGTAGCTGTTGACCCAAGCCTGACAAATGACGAGGAAGCTTTTTGTCTCCATACAGAAGGACATAATTAGTACACAGTTTGTTGTGCACATCGTCTTCGCATGTGTGTGTATATTTAGCATTTGTTATTTAGCATCTGTTATTTGTGGATATTTACAAGATATGCAATAATCAATGCAAAGCAAGATGATGGTCATCGTTATGAGCATTGCATTGTCAGGAGTGACATGCTAATGATAGCAAATGCTATATGTTTGTATTTTATTTTTGCATCTGGTCGTGGACATGGCACCGTGTAACGATGGTATTCAACAGCAAACAGTGTCATTTATGAATCGCTATTATTCTTGGATGTCGTAGTACTCATTTTGTCGGCTCAGGTTCTGATAAGATTGCATACAAAACCGGACAATGATTTAACGATTTTATCATTTCTCAATTGTGTGGTGCGACATATTCTAGCATAAGTTCCCCTGATTCCGTCCGCTATTGTATGGGATGAGCTAGGGTACCAGCGAACACTTCTGAATATCAGTTCAGGTGTGAAACATACAATAGGGCTGTAAACGCTGTGACTCATCACTTCGCCGATTCTGCTGGCTGGTCAGTATTATTCACAGTGAATCTTCATTTATTGTTTTGTATCTGACATGTTATGCAGTGCTGCCAACTGGCTTCCGGCTCCAATCTTATCTGAAGGAACCAGAAGATTTTGACAAATAAAGAAGAAAGCTAATAAGGGTTTATTTGGAAGCATGTTTCTGTGCTATGCCTGTGCTGCCTAGAAATTTTTCACGATATTGGTGGATCAAATTACCGAACAACCACTTTTCAGCATGTCGTTTTCAATAGAAAATACGGATTTCAAAATTCGAAGTTTTCTATGTGTAAACAAAATTTAATTTTTTTCTGCTCAGAGTAAACGTATGTCGAAGATAGGTAAGATAGTCAGTTGGTAAGTTATCAAAGCATCTGTTGAGATCCTTAATTATTTTACCAAACGGATTTTGTTCTACACTCAAAGGGCTGAATGCGTAGGCAGAACTGGCGTTTAAAATGATATGTAGTACGGTCGCGGAGGGCTACGTTCCTAGTGTCCGCGTTTTCGACCACAACGTAGCTAGGTTATCTTTCGACCGAACGCTTTATCAATGGTAGTGCCATTGAGGTACCACGAAGATAAATTTGTATACCGACCTGGTAATTGTGGTTTGCCTCAGACTGCTAGGGTGGCAAGATATATACGCTGCATGTCTAACAATATTGACTGCTAACTATTATCTAAATAGGAGGCCTGTACTGACGCAAGTTTACTTCTAAAGAAGCAGATGTCTAGCAGAACCGATAAAGCGGACATAAAGACATCTGAGTGCTTGAACGAGGGATCTCAATAAGTAACCTACATTTAAGTGTAAAATAATTTAAGTGAAACGGTTTTATGAAACACAACCATCCGTAGCACTAATGACTTTTGGGATTTCATGTAAGCACACGGATCCCACGTGTATAAAAGCGAAGTTAATCCTATTCCTACGCCAAAAAGTTCAAAGTAAACCGAACGTTGAGGAGGAAAACTAATTAATTTACTGTTTTGATTGTCAGGTTATTATGCACCGATAGCACACCGGTCAAATTCATGCTAAACAAAATTGCTTGTCTTGTCAGATTGTCGTAGGGCAGTATTTCTGATCACTTTTTTGAGTGAATGCACTGAAATAGCACGCATAAACTCATCGTCCGCCCCAGGGGTCCCAGATACCGCTGAAACCGCTTAGGATCACTCAGTAATTCCAGGCAAGCCGTTTTAAATAAGGGTAACTACTAAGAAGGTTGATGCAGGATCTTCAAAATCCTACGACCGGTTACACTTTTATTGGGCTCATGAAGCAGTCGCAGTTCTCACCTTCCCTTGAACCTTGTGTTCTACCTAGACGTAGGCTCTTCGAAAGCCCACGACTGGTTTCATCATTCTTGGGGCAAACACTTTTCAGCAACCTTGTGAGTGGTTTCCTATGTGAGTAAATACTGCGATATCTCGAGCATCGTACCAATGGAAAATGAGGCGAACCTTTGTGCAGCGCACTGTTCTATCTAGACGTAGGCTCTTCGAAAGCCCACGACTGGTTTCATCATTCTTGGGGCAAACACTTTTCAGCAACCTTGTGAGTGGTTTCCTATGTGAGTAAATACTGCGATATCTCGAGCATCGTACCAATCGAAAAATGAGGCGACCTTTGTGCAGCGCACTCAGATGAAGAATATCGTAAACGTGATTTGCGCTTAAGTTTCTAACGAAAACCAAATTCCTATGCAAAATGCATTTGTTTAGATTTAAGCACGAATATTTCTCTCGGCAATGCGTGTAAGGCGACGACTCAGTTATTGGTCAGTTCTCTCGGCTGGCTTGGTTTCTGGGTTGTTCTTGCAGAATAATACATGACCTTTTTGCCCGTCATTCTATGCTGTGCAGGCGACATTGAAATCGTCGACAGAGTTAATCGCTTGGTAGTAGAGTTAGTTGTAATGTACAAAATCCTTCACTAAAGAACTATCTAGTTTGAAAACCGTTGAGACACCAGAGATATTTTGGAGACTTTTCACGGTACGCTGCTCCAAGAGAATAAGTACCACTTGTTTTGTGCACAAGAGCTTCTTTTAGGTTTCGTTTTGTAAGTAAAGCCCCTAGAATGAATTTTTGACGAATACTTTGATCATATTCACCTCCACGCATTTAAGTGGCCATTTAGAAGCGAGCTAACTTCGAGTTTGCAGAATTTCATTTTTTTCACAGTAAGTTGATTGGTTTGGCCGAAACTTTAATATATTACGAAATGCGTATACTTTAAAACGAACACGTGAAACAATCCGGAAAGACCACTAAAGTATTTTCAGTCCAAGATGAGGTTGACTGACCACAACCACGAAACAGCAAGCGCATTCAAATTACTGGAATCTCCACGACCTCAAATTATCTTGTATATTTTTTATAAAGCGTGCCCGTTCATGGATCGGTCGCCCGGGAGATTTATACTCCTAAGGCGGAACTTTAGACGCGTATGAAGTTTACCTCAGTACCTGAGATACTTAACGCTGAGAACAAATATTGATGGCAGAAAGCAAGTAAATACGTATTTCATAGTACATTTCATAGGCGATGAGCCATAGCAGCACATGATTTCTCAGTGCCTGACTTCGTAATTGGATCAATGTAGAAACCAGCTGATGTTTGAAAACCATCACTTAAAAGCTTAGTAAGTCTATCCCTTTTTGCCTGCTGGTGTGTCCAAGGAAACCCCAAGAAGAAAAGGAGTGAAATTCAACAACTATTAACTGCTGAGGACATTTCTACACGCATAAGTGGTCAAATACACTTTCTGATTGTCGCAAAGTCATCTACATAGACCCAGGTGGAAGAAGTGAAAATTTGTACTTCTTAGCGAGAAAGGCACATTCTCTAAAAATCAGCCTAGTTTTGCATGTTGGGTAGTATTTCAGCCGTGAAGTTACGTGCAATGTTGCGTAACCGGATTGGAATAGTTTGCAGAATCTTGCTTAAATGTGGTGAATTATACTTCACCTAATCTCTGGCAGGGGCGACGAGAAGGGGATGGTCTTAACCCGTTCGTCTTTCTTCATTAGTGAACATAGACCTGAGTGACGATAGCCACAGTCACGAGTGCCTAGCACAACTCGTCTGTTCAAACAATAGACCGGAAATTCGTGTATCTGGTAAGCAGACCTGAAAAGTATTTTTGTGCGGTCTGGTCATTCTGATGTTTAAAGATGTCACTGGTAATAACTAAAATTTTCGGACATTTTCAGGCGTACGCAAATTTTATTATCAATTTACAGGTTTTTTCAATGTTAATATTGTATGTCATTTGTTCCGTACTGACGCAACAAAAGACAAATTCCTCTGAAGGTATACTTTGTTTTCGACGTCATCCATTGGTGTTTTCGGTTTACACGACATAAAATGGTTTTTTAGACTTTCTACTTGGCCTTCTTGAAGCTATGAGTTGGTGAAACAACTGGAGGTTTTTGACCCAAACATGAGGATGTGCACGCCGCTGAAGTGAGCTGTCGCGGAAAATCAGTGATGAATCCCACTGTTCAGTTGGCTTGTTTAGTGATTTAAATATGATTTGTCAGTAAAGTAATCCAACTAGCTACATTCAGCTTGATGTGAATACTCGAGAAAAGTCGACTGGTTTTCATTTACAGAACAGCTGACTATTCCCTCAGCGTGAGTTGGAGAACAAATAAGTTATCCTTGCTGTTAAAAGGTGTTCTATCTTCTAGCTAAAATTTGCGAAAAAGACTTTTTACAACCATTCCGTAATCGTGGGTTCATTTGAGTTCAGGCATGCATGACTGGCGGACGGATACTGGGAATTTGTCCAACTTCGTCAACGATATCCCAGGAACAACTGGTGAAGCCACAAACTCTTGGTAGTGAGTTGCTTGTTAGCCAGCCTCGTCCCGCTTAAACCCGAAGGAGCAGAGCTGAGGCCGTAAAAAACAAAATGCTGCCTCTGAAAAGTACCCTCATATGCACATAAATTTGGCTTTGTCAAAAAGGACAGCTGAAAACAGCCAAATCGTACTTTTAAAGTGGTTTACTCCAACAGATATTGCTCTACCTATCATAATTAAGCATTTAAAGTAACTGGAACTCACATCATGACGACACCGCACAAACCAGCTTTCTTTTTGAGTAACCCTTTATGACAACATTTGGTACGTAAAAAAATTGTAGTCCTGTATGGACAAGCGAGTAACCTACATTAGACAGAGTATGGTCTGCTGGAGTAAAAAGCTGATAGACCGGACAACGTTTTTGGCTTGTGTTACGGAGGATATAACATTCTCTAATGCTACAAATGGACTCCGACATCGGTCTTCGTAGGATAACCTAATGGGTCTCGAAAAGCGCTGAATGTTCGGGATCGAATTCATCTTAGGATGTCCTATTTACTGAGGTCTTGGTAGGTCACTTGCAGCAGAATCTTATTGACCCTATTAACTGAATTCACATGCCGACCACTGTTAGCTAATGACCTCCCTACTAATCGTTTAGGACATTCAAATATTTCGACCCTACAAGGCTAAGCATAAGCGAACCGACTCCGGAAGTAAGTGCATGTGGACCGCGCTGACATGTGATCAGAATTTTCCTATTCCATCCACTCTTCCACTGTTGATGTAGAATGCTGCAATTAGCCGAGCATGACATTGGCCTGTGAAGCTTTCGCCATCGATCGTAATAAAGCCAACGCTCAACCACACTAATGACTTTTCCGACGAAATTTAACGTTTTGACTACCAACCTCGGTAAACAGATTCATTGCCATCTGCCCAGCAGCCGAAAGCTTAGTTCATTCGCGAAAGTCTACTGGAAATACAGGTTAAAATCTCATTGACCATAGGCTTACTTCCACTGGACCGTCTTGGACAAATTAGGACAGACTTCAAAATAACATGAAATCCTTTCCTATTCTGTAATAATAATAAGCCATCTTATTCATGAACCGCACGCAGTATACTTCTTCTCAACCATTTGTCGCCCTTATAAGTGCCCATATATCTGACATTCACGCAATAACAACCAAACATCATTGGCTATGGATTAGTGCGCACACCACCGCCGCGGTAAAAAGCTCGTTAATTTGAAAAAATCTTGAGCGAGATGCGCTGGTTGACGATTTGTGAAGACATAAGGGAAGAATATTAATCGAAAGATACTTTTCCTCTGAAAAATTCTGAGAGTTATTATGCTCTGTTAAAGTGAACATTTTGCAAATGACCAGCATCCACGATTAAGTTTTCAGATATCCCATGGATCCTTCTGAGAAATAAGAACAATTTTTAAAATGCTCATGTTCATTAAAAATTTATTAACGTTACGAGAGTCAAAATTCAGAATTTTTGAGGGATCCGGTCAAACCTTGTGACTACTCTCCGCTTGGTAATCAACTGGAAACACTCATTCTAGAAGAAAACGCTCAGTGATGAAAACTTGGTGAGCCAAGCATAAGCTTTTAAAAACAGTGCAAATATGAGAGAGTCCTGTCACACACACTTGGTAAAGAACAATTAAAAACACCACTGACACCCTTAGACAACGAGAAAACCGCCGATTGTCTAAGAGGAGCCTGATGTACCTGAGCTGCCGGCTTCTGGAGGCGAGCAAACAACGATGCAACAAAGCATTACGTTAAAAGAACGTAGGGCTTATGAAATGCCAGAGGTAGTTTAAAACCATGGACCTCCTTTTAGGCAAGTTCGCATCTTAACCACGAGCCTTGCCAAATTCAAGAGCTAACACATGTTCAAGACGAATTGCTGCCATTATGAACCTTCGGTGGGGGCGTATTCTGGCAATTGCGAATAGTTGCTTCGCACATAACCGTCCTCTGCGAATGGGGGTAAGCCTGCTGGATGTAGAGAAGCAGCCTTCTATCTCACTGCAGTAAAATTTGAGGATGTACATATCCGTGGCCGTCAGGGGGCCCTGTAGGTCATCAGAAACTATCTTAGCAAACCTAGAACCGGCGCCTACCAAACCGAAAATGGATTTCAGTGCATACTTCCTTCACGGCTGTATTTGCAATAACTCCGGCTTGAAAAAACATCACGTTTGAAGATACCATGTACACACCTATCTGCAACCACTGCGAACAAGATATGAACTGCGATTATCATAGATCAAAGAAGCAACATAATGTAGTTTTCGGTATTTGTTATACTGTTCAAGTGAATACACCAAGGTTCCTATATTCCGTAGATACCCTAATGATGTAGTTTGTTTCTGAAACAATGTGGGTTTCCTACTATCCATGCTATCTTTATTGTACATTTATAGCAAAACGGTTTTACTCACAGTCGAACCTTGGTAGTGGAAAATCAGTGTCGTAAAAATTCATATGGAAAAACCATTGATTCATTTCACAATGTTTAATTGAAGCCAACTAAAGACCTCCATAATTATTGAACATGGCCTCCAACCAATTTTCCTGCTTCCTTTTTTCATTAGAACTTCTATTTTCTCATGGATGCGCTTTACAAAACAAAAAATTCAATGTATTTTTGCTTTCGAAAATTTTCTAAAATGGGTGCAATTTGTCTTTTTTCTCTCCTCACAGTCCCAACACCTTTGCTCATGCACTAGCTCCATCTAAGCGCTTCATTTCATGTTATTCTGAAGAAAAAAGACTATAATAGTGAAAACAAGGCTGTAACCTCAATACTACTATGAGAAAAGGCTGCAACTATCGTATCAGAGAAGTCTACCCTGAATGTTTACCAACGTCTGAATAAAGTGTTTCATCTCGCAAAATGTCAATATGACATTTATCAGAAGCGAAGCCTGATCGATAATAGCAATGAAATACATCTCATCCACGAACATCCAAAAGGTCAACCCAAATAAATTGCATCCAACGTGCTTTAATTCGTCGCTCAATGAGTCTGGAGTGCATATGTCGAGTTCTATTTATGCCTCTGGACAAAATATTGAAGGCAGAGATTGAGAGGTATCAAAAAGCGCAGCACGTTTACGTTTCACGTGCTAAAATAGTAGAATATACAGACATTCATCCTTCGTAATCCAGTTAGAAATTTCGATGATATATTTTGACAATAATGTACCTGTATGAACTCAGTTATTCCGTTGTTTTAATGGCATACCTGTCTTTGAGTCATATATAGTATGAAACACTTACGTAAATACATCTCCGACGCCGCACGAACTTTATAAACCTTATATAATTTCAGTCCTAAGCAAACCACCGATCGATCATGATAGCGTGCGTATGAGAATGTAAATGGGACTAACACGAGCTTAGACAATGGGACATGTAGGTAGAAAATTACGTCGCCCATTCTGCTTCGGGGAAATCTCCCTTGAAGTTTGCAGTAAAATACGTCTAAATATAAATTGGTTAAACTTATCAAGCGTCAGATATCGAGATGTCATTTCAGAGATACAGAATTAATGGACAATCCATAGCTTGCAATCCGCCTGCACGACCACAAGATCTTTTAAACGATGGTATGGTTGAGAGATCAGCTGATTAGAAAAACAATGACTCCAGTTTATATACTTTTCTTTTAAAACCAGTGATCTTTTTATCCCTATCTCCAAATTAAGTGGTATAAACTTGTATGAAATATCTAACACTAATCTGGCAAGTCACCAGTAACTCATCGGTTTTCCAGTGTGCATTTATCTGAATTGATGACCCTTCTACGGTCAAGATCAGATGCACATCAGTGTATTTCGCTAATTTCACGCAATTTCGGTTCACGAAGAAGTTCCAAGTATCTAAGTATCTAAGTATCTAAGTATCTTTCCACATTCTGGAGACTAAAAACATCAGCGCTATTCTACCGACGAGGTGAAAATTATATGGTGCTTTTCTTTTTAGATTGCAGGATTATTTGCATAACAATATGCAAACAGCAGCTTGAGAGCACTAGTCTTCAAGGGTTTGATATTCATTGTTGTCCCCTGTATCCTGATATAGCTATTCACGGAATGGTATCGCATTCAAGCTGCTAAGGAGATACCAGTTCGACACCAGCTCGAGATACCAGTAATTTGTATACCGTTAATTGTCTACAAGCGCCTGCTGCTCGCTCATTGCATGATTGATGTCAAGGCCAGCGAAATTTCCGTCAATACTATTCCTACTATTTAGTTAAGAGCCTAAGGCTTTTCCGCTTGGATTCGAGAATTCCGACATTGTTGAAGGTGACAGCTCTTGAGGAAAGTATTTATCCACCATATAGGTAGATAGAACCTGGGGGGCAATTTAACAGTCTAGCTCTGTATCCGGGTGCCGCGTTTCTTATACGAATGCATTTGTGTGCCTTTGTGCTTCACTGACCGCAGGATGTATACCTCCGCCCCCACCAAAGAGCAAAACGGATCTATAGTTTAGTGACCCACTGACACGATGCAATACATAATGTCGACAAACGCTTGTGCTCAAGGAACACTTTGCCCTCAAAAGACAAGTCGGACCTTTTCAAAAACGAAACTATTCACAGAGTCGCTGAAAAATGTTGTACAGCCCGCGACCGTTTTTGTCCTTCTACAGGCTCATCGTGCAGCAGCAGTCCTCGAGATTCTGTCAAACTGATGTATTACTTTAACCAAATTTGATTTGATTTCGACAAATGCACTCATTTGCAAATAATTTTAGATTTCGGTTTTATCTTGTGAATAAAAATTGATCTTAAAATGGATCTAATAGTCGAAATCGGTCCAATTTTGATTCAAGCAAGGCGTCAGATTGACGGGTACTCATGAAATTTGCCTGTTCGATGAGCTCGAAGTAGACCAAAGCCGGTCGCGGCCTGTCTACATTCTCTTCTGCAACCCTGTGAGTAGTTTCCTCTATGAGAATATACCGCGGGATCTCAAATATCGTGCCAACTGACACACGTGGCGGCCTCTGTGCAGTACATTCAGTTAAAACAAATCATAAACTGGAGTTTCAGCTGCGTTTCTCGTGGTAACCAAAATGAGTTGCAAATGGGTGCAGTTGTCAAGACAAGTCTATCCTGTTTTGTCGTTTTATTATTCTCAGAATTTTGCATACGCACTGGTCGCTCAAGATGAGTTAAATAGATCCTAAAACACACTGGTGTTACAACCCAGTGGCCTACCGAAAATTATGAAACTTTTCGGAAGTAATATCTGTCGCTGGTTATTTTGTTCGAATGGCACAATTCATTATTGCTTACAAGTAATCTGCGAGAGTATTGTTTTTATATTTTCTGGGTGGCCTTTTTATTAGCTACAGCGCTTAGATTTTCTTCATTTTTCTTCCTTTGTGATAAATACTACAAGCCTTGGCTTTCCATCGTGAAGTTAGTTCAGCCAAGGTCTCCACATCACGTATCAACAGTTAAATTTTCCCTGTTAATATTCTGCATTGTCACGGAGCGGTCAATTTGTAAGACTCCTGTTCAACCCAGACTCACCATGGGCGATCCGGAAAAACAGATCATAAACGACTCCCATATTAATTTATTCCACAAGCTGTTTCAAAGATTAACCTGACTAGATGGTGCCAAATGATGAAATAAACTTTATGGTGGATATAACACCCTTTCCTCTGGTCACAATGATTGTTGAAGAAGGAAAACCAGTAATATGCCTTTTAAAAATAAGCCTAATTCTAAAAAATCAATTCCAACATGTGGTGGCTTTTGAGGATAGTTATCAAGCCAATAAAATCGAGGTGTTTTTCCTTGCCCTATCTAATCAGGAATCGCTTACTGGTCAAAGCTCGACGTGAAAGAAAGGAGGATCTTGAACTAGATCACGGGTGATGTCAAATGTTACCCAACATCTGTTTTTATACATCAAAGTGATTCCGAAACAAAAACGTTTAGGGGAGTTTAGATGACCTCACATGAAATGACCCTTTATTGACGAGTAGCTCTAAAAGTTTATTCTTAACAGACACATATTTGTGCTCCTATTGCTGACTCAACCTTCTGCATTTAATCATATTCTTAGTTTTCTGACCACTTAGGCCAGTGAACACAACCCATTTCCTCCGTGAAGAATATCAACTTAGATGGCAGTCCAACCTTCTGGCAACCTTATCTTCTAGACATTAAATCCCGTTAGGTAGTGCAAAATAAATTCAATTACTGTGTAATAAAAAGAACAAGGTGTAGACACAAGATAATTTTACACAGTTGTGTCCATGTGAATAACCACCGAGCTGTTTAATGAGCCACTGCGCACGGCTGACTTCACTCAGAGTTGAACAAATTTAAAACTTTCACTCCTAATTGCTTTTGGCCACATGGAGTGAAACGAATGTGCCCCCAGGGCCAAATTTGCAGCAATCTGACACCAAACACAGCTAACGCACGCAGCATCAAATTTATGAATATTACACCACACACACTGGGTACCTTTCTACATTTATAATCTTACAACGATGTGAAATGCAGGCACTCTCACTGAATTCCAGTCTAGGTGGATTGGGTGCTTTACTCCAACAAAATCCTCCATCTGGGTTGTGCAAAAGAAAACCATCTTCTGAAAGAGATCTTGCTATGCGTCCGGTACTGAAATCTTGTAAGCTAATTGGTGAACTCAATGTCAGTAAGACACTTTCTTGAACAAAATCTGACAGACAGAACTTCCTAGGCAACCACAGTCAATTTTCGTACTTTTAAGCCTTCTGACTGACAACCTTGTTAGACAAGATTAGCGCGCAACTGCTTGGAATATAGCCCTTATTGAGGAAGAATGAATATTCCTAACGTCTGAAAGGATTTTCATCCCTGTTCGCAACAAATTGCGAAAATTCGATGAAACGGTTTTTGCCGGTAGGAAAATAGAAATGGAAGCATACGCAGTCGACTATAAATGGTTCGCCGATTTCTGTTTTGACGGTGCTTTGACGGTTGTGCATGAAACTGGAGGCAGGTCGACGTTTACATTTTGGGAAAACATCCGGACTTAACACCACCAGCAGTGTTTGTCATGCCGTAGATTTCCGGTGGTGTGCACCGGAAACCGTGTCAATGTACTGTAATTTCGAATTATTTTGGACATTTGGTCATTAATAAACCGGCTCATATTCACCACTTTTGAACTTGTTAGCTAACGGAAAATACTCTAATTGAGTTATATTGCGTACACATTTTCTTGTGCATTTAGAAAAGATGCCAAAAATAAGAAGCCTACTGCAGGTAACTGACAGGTAATTTAGTAAGTGCATCATGGTGGCAAGATGAAACAGAAGTACTTTTGACTGATGAGGGCATTTTCTGTGTGTGTAACCCCTGCATGTATTTTTCGCCTTCGAATTGTGATTATCGCACATTATGATCAGCTTGGTCTAACTATCAGCTACCAGCTTAAAAATGCAGAGTTGCAGGTCTCGCCGGAATAGATCAATCATGCTCAGACACATTAGGCGCTAATTTTTTTTGTGCATAGTCTTAATTTGGCTCAGATTAGGTCAAATTCAGTATAACTTTACGGTTTACTGATCATCCAAACAAAGCAATATTCCCCACCCGGCCGTTTCCTTCAAAGATTTTGCGCACCTTGATGAGTTTTCTGCGAAAGCATAGATTTATAGTGCATACAAAATTATGTAGAATGTAAAGAAATACACAGTGCAGCCACTGCTTTTGTCAAATGGGGGACTTTGGGGATTGGTTATGATGGTTTAATAATGTTGAAATGAACGAATTTACTGCTGTCCAACGATTGTGTGACTATTTTCAGCTGCATACATTCAAGATGGCTAACAAATTTATTCACTGTATAATTAAGACAAAGTTTCGTAGACGGTCTCATCAAAATCGATGACTTTATAAAGACGTCGGCTTGTTTTGCGTTATAAATGAAGTATTGTTGCGAAATTTCAGCAACACTTCTGAGTCAACAAAAACTCTGGAGGATGAGTAGTGGCAGTGGTTTTGAAAGAAGGGAAAATAAATGACCGATTCCTGTCTCCAACGGCAAAACAAATTTCAGTGACATTTTTGAAATTAGCGCTGACTACGTTACATTAGGGGTGATTGTGAATTGCATTTTGTTTCCAGCGATACCGAATTGCAGAAGAAGAACAAAACAACCTTAGATGTTGTTTACATTTTTCTGTTCCGAATGGACGGTTTACACAAAGTATAAGGATAATTTTGGTAGAGGCTTTTTGTAATGCGCACAATAATTGACTTTTCCTCCACGGAGAGGGAGAATCTGCAGTCATTTCGATTTATGTCATTTCGATTTATAGCTAAAGTAATGGCAAGGAACAAGTGCTCATTTAAGGGTGTTATGTAAAATGATGCGATATAATACTTCACTTCGAAATATAGTACAAAAAAAATATGTGATAGCAAATGTAACACATAATACGTATATGAATACGATACATATATAATCTAGAAATATATTTAAAAAATTGAATGGAAGCAATATATACAATACGCTAACGAACTTCGAGATACAACGTGGCATAATATATAATGATATAGGTATAATACAATATGTAGCATAAATTGTTTGTGATTAACATACAATAACCGCAGCCTTCCCGGTTGCTACGTGCAAAGCATATTGTGTGCAAACGCACCCCTGTCGTTTCAAATGAAAGCTCATCTGTAATGTCATTTTGGCAACCAGGAGACATTCATTACCAGAACATCAAAACCACATACTACGCTATTGGCAGCTTGTAGTATATATGCTCCTACTAGAGCCGTTTACAGCCGGCGAGCCCGTCATTCGGGTGGACTGTATATGCACTGCTGATTACTGTTAACTTACTCAAAATACCTGCTGATAATTCACCGTACATTCCAACTGAATCACTGCTACTCTGTAAGCGCGAAGTCTTATGTTAGTCATAATATCACAATTGTCATAAGTTTCATTTGACCCATGCTGCGAAAGGTTTATTAGTAGATTTTTTAACAGTCTCTTGATACTATCGACTTTATGTCAAGTTTTTATCTACTGTTTATTTTTTATTTAGTGTCATTTATTACTGTACATCCCCTTACAAGTAATCAGTTCAGCTGTAAACAACAACACTGCTCTTGTATGTACCAATGTCAATCAGTGTGAAGAAGTGCATAAAACTAGTTCTGAATAAAATTATCCATTAAACTACCTTTCGAAATAACGCATTGCCCTTTTGAATAATATATTTTCCGATTTGGAAAACACCTTTGGATGTTTATACGGGTGTCTCATTTTTAAATTATGTGACTGAAGCTCGCGGCTTCGAGGCTTAATCAGCTCATTCTGGTAGAGTATCTACAGATCTGATCCAAATCAACAGATAGCATATATATCATTCTATGCTATCAATTCTCTGAATCCATCCATCAGTTAGTTTTGCTATTTTATCCACTTACCTATAAATTGAGACTCCTAAGTGAGGCACTCACACTTTACTGTCTAGTCTGCGTTTGTCTACAATTATTTTTACTGCAATTAAAATTTGGAATAAAACCTGTCTGTTTGGTAGCGTTTTGATAAAAATCGTAATTTTTGACTATCGTAATTTCTTTGCTTTTCTTTTCACTTCAGTTGATACATACTGAATAATACTCGTTTAAACTCGCGATCATTAATGAAATTTTCGTAGAAATGCTTTAAAAAAATAATTTTACACGGCTTTGTAATCCATGGACTTTTTCGTATAAAGGAGCTCACCTAAAAGAATTTGGTTTATGTAGTAAATCATTCGAAGGTAAATTTTAGCCATTTTTTGACAAGATTCCTGGTAGTCGGCCAGTAGTGTTCAACAGCTTCTCTGAGGGACGACGTTTGGAAAATTTAGGAATGAATGTGATTTCTTCCTATCGTTTTTATATCAATATCGCTTCTATCTTCTTATGGTGATTATGGAATAGCTTCCGTAACTACAAGCAAATCGCGTATATTTGGATGTATAAACTTGTGACTAATCTCTGAT